GCAGACTGTTTGTGTGGGGGCTAGATCTACCCAGACCAGGGACTAGGCATATCTGGAGTCCAGAACTGCTTGAACCAGGCAGCCTTTCACCCACGCCATAATGACTGGGCAGCTCCACATGGCATTTTCCCCACCAACTGCGTAACTGCTGTCCATTGGTTCTGAGGGATCAGGGTCCTTCCTCTTGTCCCCAAGGCTCTAATGTAGAGTGTCAGGTCTCCACCACTCTACCCCGACAGTCCTTAGAAAAATGGCTGCTCTTCCCACACCAGAAGCAGACTGTTTCTCTTGTCCCAATTTTATTGGGTGGCCATCACATTTCTCTCCACTGTGCTAGCTCTCCCTGGGGTCAGGGCTAGCCACTCCAGGGCATACTTCCCTTCTGAGATGGTGAAGGCCAGAGCCAGCCTTAGGCCTCTTTCCAATTCTGCAGTGAGTGTTGCTGGACCCAGCACTGGGTTTGGTCCTCTAAGTTGCTAATGAATTGCTCCAGAAGAATCTGGCCCACAAATGCATCCTAGTCATACAAAGAGGGACTCACCCACTTGTTCATGAGGTCCTCGAGTAGCTGCAACAGGATCCATGGCCATCATTCATCACATCCTTTCTTGGCCTGGAATAGCCATTTGTAATACTCAGGTGTAATATTGAGCCTGTACAAGATGGTCACCTTAACTCAGTCATAGTCATTAGCTTCATCTCAAGGCATTGCCCTGTATGTGGCCTATGCCTTACCTATGACTATGGCCCTGAGTTGACTGGCCCGGTATCCCTTATCCAGCCTGGTCTGTATTGCATTGTGCTCAAATGCTTCAATGTAGGTCTCTGAGTCATCTTCCTGGATCATTTTAGGCATTTTGAAGAAAGAAAAGTTATGTTGCAGCCAGTCCTGGTGCTGGGCTACCTGCTGCTGCTGCACATCAAGAATCTGAGTAAGCGCCTGCAGAGTCTGCCCTAGGAGATCAGGATTTGCCATTACTGCCAACTGCATGGCAAATGAGTCGCCTACGGTCAGGTCCTCTTCCGAGTTTCTGGCCTATGCACCACTTTGTACCTGCTGGGTTTGGAGTGGCCACTCTCACACAGCTCAGGACCAGCTGTTCCTGTCCTGCCTCTAGTTTTCCCTTGGGTACTATTGCTGCTATTGCATCACCTCCCCATGGAGAACCCTGATACTCACCCACCAGGACTAGTTGTTCTCTTCAGGAGTGGAAGGCTCCCCTGGAGTTGGAATTTTGCTGGGAGATGTCATCAGCAGATGTTCCTGGGGCTCCACCTCCCCTACACCCCTTCCATGGGCCAGCCAGCAGTGTTCAGCTGGATGTTAGCTGGCCTGTATACTTTAGTTGTTGGGCCTGTTGGCGTGACCCTGACCCATGCTTCTAGTATGGCAACCTGAATGTGGCAATGAATTAGCACACTGCCTTGAGTGTGGGCACCCTCTATTTTAAACCCATTAATGTGGGCCTCGGTTATACCCAAATGGCCCATCCCTGCCTGGAGACTGTGTATCGATGGGCCAGAGTATGGCCTGCTGAACTTCATGTGTCCTAGCCTGGAGTCTCTGGGGGCCCCTCAATCCTCAGCTCCAGGGAAGAGTGAGTGGTTGCCTTCTGCCCTTAGGAGCAATTCAAAAGTATAAAAAAAGAATCAAAGTGCCGGGGAAGTACAGTGTTGCTGCCCCACTGACATGTCCTACATGCATTGTAGGAATCTGTCCCTAGGTGTTATTCTTGGTCCAGGCTTGGTTTGCCCTCTGAGCCATGCAGTGGATCTCTCTTTAGGGTCCCATCCTGGTCCCTCCAGTGAGAGGCTCTGGCCACACTGGGGCGAGCGCCCAGCCACCTTTCAGCTGGTGTAACCCCAGTGTTCTGTCTGCCATCGGCTCTTATTGGAGCTTGCTGGCATCCTCTGATGATGTCACTGCCTTGTGCTGGTCCCAGCCATATAAACAAAAGCCTTTGACATAGTGTCACACCCACTTCTTATAAATAAACTAGACAGTTGCAATGTAGATTATTACACTGTCCAGTAGGTTGAAAATTGCCTTATGGGATGCACCCAGAGAGTGGTGGTAGATGGGTCAGTTTCTGCCTGGAGAAATGTAGGCAGAGTCCCCCAAGGCTCTGTCCTGGGACTGGTACTATTCAATATCTTCAATAGTGACTTGGACGAAGGAGTAGAAAGTACCCTGTCCAAGTTTGCTGACGACACCAAACTATGCAGGGTGGTAAACAAACTAGAGGGCAGGGAACAAATCCAGGCCAATTTGGACAGGCTGGGGAAGTGAGTGGAACAGAATAGGATGCAATTTAACAAGGATAGGTGGCATGTGTTGCACCTGGGGAGGACAAAAAATTATCAATACTCCTATAGCCTAGAAGGTACCATTTTAAGTAGCACAACTGCAGAAAGGAATCTTGGAGTTGTAGTTGACTCCAAAATGAATGAGTCATCAGTGTAATGAGGTAATAAGTAAAGCTAAGCACACCGTTTCTTGCATCACAAACAGGTCTAGGGAGGAGATTCTTCACTTCTATGCGGCATTGGTCAGGCCACAGCTGGAGTACTGCATCCAGTTTTGGGCACCGCACTTCAGGAGGGTTGTGGATGGCCTGGAGAGGGCTCAGAGAAGGGCCACTTGTCTGGTTAAAGGCCTACAGAAAAAACCCTGTGTGGACCGATTGGGAGACCTGAACCTCTTCAGCCTCTGCAAGAGGAAGCTGAGAGGTGATCTTGTGGCCGCCTACAAACTCATCAGGTGGGGTCAAGAAGAAATAGGAGATACAATGTTTACCAGAGCACCTGTCGGGGTAACTAGAAATAATGGCCACAAACTGAAAGAGAGCAAATTCAGACTGGACATCAGGAAAAAATTCTTTACAGTGAGGGTTGCCAAAATATGGAATGTGTTTCCAAGGGAGGTGCTGTCCCCGTCCTTGGAAATATTTAAAAGGAGATTGGACAGACAGTACTCTTTCCAGCCTAGGGCAGGGGGTCGGACTCAATGATCTAATAGGTCCCTTCCAACCTTAACTCTATGAAACAAGTAGCTGGTGAACCACATGGGCAGTTTGTCTGTCGGCTGCTGTTCCCCATTTGGCATGCCTGCCAGTGGTAAATATTTCCCCCCTGTGGGGTTACTAAGGGATTTTTCCCAGTGCCATGGGGCTTCTCTGCAGCCCCCATGCTAGGGAAGGGATCTCCACCCCTTTTCCCTCATCACCCCAGGACACAGGACAATGCACGTGTCCTTATTAAACCTCATGAGATTTCTTTTGGACCAATCCGCCAATTTGTCTAAGTCACTCAGAATCCTAGCCCTACCCTCCACCGTAACTACTACCTTCCCCCAGCTTGGTGTCATCTACTAACTTGCTGAGGAAAACCCAAACATGTTCAACATAAAAGAGTTTCTTAAGTTTTTATATTTTTGTTAAACCCAAGTGTTTTTTTTGGAACAAAAACCTGAAAAGCTTAAGCAAAAACAGAGTTTTTTTCTGCACAAATTTCTATTTGGTTGAAAAGTTAGTTTCCAGCCCCCAGAGACTGAAGGGGAAATTCTTTGGCCAGTTATAATATTACAGTTCTCTCTCTCTCCAGTACCTCTCCTAAAATAGTGGCCTCCAATGTTTGGCTCCAGTGATGGGTGTGCTAGTTCCTCTACCACTATCTATACACTGCAGTTCCTTCTGTGACTGCTCTGTTGTATAAAGATGCCTAACCTAACTCAGGTAGTGCTGGTAAACTACCTTTGACATGGACTAATTTATTCTGCCAAGATGAATTCAACTTCAAACTGGCAGAATCTAAATTCTGGTTCAGGTAACTCCTGCCTATGGTGGTGGGACTGGATTCGAACTCACGAGATCCCTTCTAGCCCCTAATGTCTATTAAATCAGTGAACTGCAACTGAGTGTCAACTTAACAAATTTGTGGATAACACCTAATTAGGTGGAGTTGCAGATGTTTTGAATGGCATGGCTAGGATCCCAAATGACCTGAATACACTCAAAAAAATGGTCTGCAATCAACCAAATGAAATTCAACAAGGACAGTTCAACCAGTACAAAGTCCTGCATTGGGGATGGAATAATTGCATGCACGAATACAGACTGGGGAATGACTAGCTAGGCTGCAATCTGCAGAGGACCTGGAGGGTTCAGCAGACCAGGGTTACTCAATCTCTGGCCCATGGGCCAGATCTAGCCTACAGTACTATGTCATCCAGCCTGCAGGGTTCCCCACAAGTTCAGAAATTTGAAACAGGGAAGTGGTGGCATTGCTGCCCTGACACCAAATTTCTGGACCCACGGGGAGTCAAGTCCTGTGTCCTGAATCTGGCACTCAATCCCAGTGCAGAGGGCCAGGCAGGGGCAGCACCAGGCCCCAGGGTCCAATCCCAGTGGGAGGGGGTGATACTGGGCCCCAAGGCCCAATCTGGTCCATAGATAGACCCTGTACCACTCATCTGTGCCCAAAAGGTTAAGCACCACTACAGTAGACCATAATTTGAATGTCAGTCAAAAGTATGCTCTTGTTGTAAAAAGACAGACAGCATACATGTACTGGGTTATATTAACAGGATTATCACTTGCAAATGAAGGATAGTGTTTCTTCCACTCTATTCAGTGCTTGTGAGGCCTTCCTTGGAGTATGGCTACCAGCCCTGGCCCACCTCCAGGCCAGTCGGAACCCCTGGCCCTCGACTCTCAGGCGTCCCTCACGGTGGGCCCCTGGCTCTTTTGACTGGTCTGGTCCTGGTCCTGGCCCTGGCCCTGGCCCTGGCCCTGGCCCTAGCCCTGGCCCCAGCATGGGTCAGTCAAGGGTACTATCTCGATCAGTATTTGAGTCTCTAGCCCCTCACTCTCTCTAGGGTTCCACCCCCTGGGCCCTACACATAAAGGGGTAACCCACGTGGTGGGGGGGGGGGCTAGGGGTTAAGGCGCCCAAACCCACCTTTCACCAGGGTGATCACTGGCCTGGCATTTCCTGGAGGCTCCTGTACCACTGAGAGCCCTGCCAGGCCAGTCCTGGGCACCCAGCAGAGTGCAGTTTTAGGTCATGCCCAGGAGCCTCCTACCATCCCCTACAGCTCCTCCCTTACTTCCAGGTGAAACTCAGCAGCCCTCAGGCCAGGCGATGTTGTTGCCTGACACCCAACAGCCAAACAGCCTTGTTTATATAGACAGCCCTGAGCCTAAAATAGCTGCCTTCATTAGGCACCTGGAGGCTGCCAGCTCCAGGGCCTTAAAAGTGGCAGGCACACACAGTGCCCTGCCACATGCAGTCACTACATCTGCAAGGTTAGTTGTACTTTAAAGTACAAGGGTGTTTCAGAAAGTAATGGCAATTTCAAAATAAAGCATTCGTGTGCAATGATCACTTGCTGGACCACATTGCTTGTATACATAGTCATAAAACAGTGGGTGCATTCAGCAAATGTCACAATCACCGTTCCCCACAGCTGCATCGCTTCTGCCGGACATAAAATGAGTTTATTTCAAAATTGTTGTTACTTTTTGAACCCTCATAGAAGATTCTGTATTTTTCTAATATATGTTAGGGAGACATGGGATGAGCAATCAGAGCAAGCATAGGACTCATAAGCTAGGCTTTTGATGGCTTCTTTCATATTCCTCCATGGTGATTTTGATTTTCTTTTAAATGTAGTAGTCATGAAATGGAGGGAGGGCATAAACCAGGTGTGGGTAGAATGTGGCCTGTGGGCCAGACGCGGTCTGCCAGGCCATTCTATCTGAACTGTGGGGCCCCTAAATATTAATTTTCTAAATTTTTTATCTGCCTCTGACTGCCTGTCATGCAGCCCTCGATGGCTTGCCAAAACTCAGTAAGCGGCCCTCTGTCCGAAATAAATTGCCCGCCCCTGGCATAAACCAACCCATCATATTTGTGTTTTCATTCACAGAGGCTCTGAGTGACATCCAGAATTCAGTTTATAGAACAGCCCTGAAACTACGCTCAGTACAAACTCTCTGCCAATGTAAGTAGATGAGGACGTTTCTGTACTTTTGGACTGGGAGGGGAATCTGGAAAATTCATAGACATTAGAGCTGGAAGGGACCTTGAAGATCATCAAATCCAGCCCTTGCCCCAGGGGCAGGAAGTTAGCTAGAGTCAAAGGATCCCAGCAAGATAAAAGAAAAAAAATCACAGTCTGAACTAAAACATTGCTTTGCCTTTCTCCAATACTCTTCCCTTAAAGGGTTCTGGAGCACACTACAAATTTGTTTGTGAACAAATGGACAATTATACTCTGTACAGGAGCCAGTGCTTTTCTGACACTCATATAGCACTTTCCAAAGGAAGCTAAATATTTTTAATCCCAGTTTTGCCAGTGGGGAAACTGAAGCAGAGAGGTCAGCTGACTTGCCGAGAAGATACAGCGACACAATTGCAGTGTCAGCAGCAGAATTCAGACCCTATCCTTTGTAACATCGAGAGTGTTAGACCCCAACTCCATGTGGCACCCAATGACTAGGAAGACAATGATCCGATTGTCCATGGGTCCTGTTACTCATTAGACAGAGCAGGCAGGGAGCAAACACCAGCACACATTGCTCACAACAGCTTTATTCAGAATGGAGACAGCTTTGGGCCAGGTCCCAAAAAACAAACTGGGGACCTGCCCTGAACAATAGTTTCCCACACACACACATTTATACACTTTGGTTTATGCTCATTACCATTCATTCTACCCTTGTTCCTCCTATGTTCCACCCATTTTTCCTCCCCTCTCAAGCTCTGCCTCTGTTTACTGTTTGCTTCATTCGCATGAAATTGCCTATGCATTTTACTTATTTACATGTCTTTTTGCTATGAGTGCATGTCTAAGACCTTGACTTCTTTTCTTCGGTCAATGGGCAGACTTTAACCAAAACCTGGAAGCTTTTGGAGTCTTCTTCACCAATCACCATTTACCTTTTTGTATATGTTCATCTTGGATTCTGTTACCAATTACATGGTGTTTCACATTCCAGTCTGTTTTTCTGTCTCATGTTGTACCATCTTCCACATTCCTAAAAATGTCACCGCATTCACAGCACACAGACTTGCACAGATTCACTTGCTGTTTTTTCCTCAGAAAATGGTTGACACAGTTAAGATGGTTACTTAGTGTAAGCAAATGGCTGGCTTAGCTATCATTCTGCAATGTGGTCAGCAGCTCTGCTAGGCCACAGGTCATACCTTTATTCAGCTGCAGATTCAATGCTCCCCGAAAATCCAAATATTGTCACTCTAACAGAGAGGATTCCCAATGCGCCATGTGGATTATCTTTTCTATTTGTTCTGTTATAGCATAAGTGTTAATAAAGCTGGTCAACATAGTTTTGACAGTTCCGTACCTCTCCACAAAAACACAAAACAACAACAACAACAAAAAACCCCACACACCTTATCAACAATGGGGTTTTATTGAAGACAAATATTTTCAATAATCAAACTCCCCTGCAGAAAATATATTTCTTTAAAAAAAAAAAAATTGAAGAGACTTATTGTCATCCATTTCACACATCTTCTGTGAGCTCTAGTTAAAATAAAAAGGCAGTGGAGGAGGACATTTAAATAGCCCTGGCTCTTAAAGCTAGCTGCAATGAAATAAAGCCTAAACCAGAAACCTGCTTCCCCCAACAATGAAGTACTAGGGAGGGGAGAAGGGGAGCAGGAGAATCAGTTCCCAGGGAAATACCAATTACTAGGTTCTTGCCAACAGATCTGAGAAAGCAGCTCAGCATTATTGCCAAACAAGGAGCAGCAGATGCGCCGATTCATTTTCCTGGGGCCCAATCTTGCACACAAAAACTATGAAGCATCAGGCTTCGTCTCCTGAGTAATTCTATTAAAAAGTCAATGGAATTGCTTATGGCAGCATTTTATTTTACTTATAGGCTTGAGATTTTCAGAGACACTGCTCATCATGGTGAATGAGTAGAGTACCAATGAACTCTCTCTCATAGCACTCCCATGAAATAATCATCAACATTCCCATTGCAGAGGAAGAAAGTAGGCACAGAGCAGCAGGAGGCTCACAAAAGGATTATCTACCACTTAAGTCCTAGTCGGGGGGGGGTGGAAATCAAATGGGATTTAAGTGCTGCAGAAGAAGTATTGTGCTTGTCGTCTTCATGAGGATGCACTGCAGTCCAAATAGTCAGAAGTCACAAGAGACTCCCACAGCACAGCCAGGAGCAGAACCTAGATTTTCCAAGTCCTGGTTTTAACCATAAATCCAGATGTATGGCCCTGGCATTATAACTAAACCAAGATGGTGAAGTCAGATATTCATTACATATATATTAAAGCAGATGGTTACAAACATCACCCCTTCACACGTAGTAGTAAATACTGGAAGGGATAGCTACTTGGGACAGGGTATCCTAGTAATCTTCTTGACTTTCTAATGGAAAAAGACAAGGGAAGGTTGGGGAGCATAGTAATTCACTGCTATTACTGAAAAAAGATATATTCTAATAGCAATAGTAAACAGTTTTCTTTAGTACTTGATTACTCTACCACTATTAAAATTCAAACAAACTCCCCTTTAAAAAAGGTCTATAAAGATCTATTATATTTTTTCAGAGACACAGATTAATTAGATTATTATTACAGCATGTAGTATTGCCAACACAACATAAAAGTTGCCAGCAATATGGAACTTCATCTATGTATTGTTGTCCTTGTTAAATGTCAAAATTGGATCTATTTCTTAGGAATGGATTTATTGGAAAGAGAATAAAAAATGCATAGGGTAATTTGCAGACATTATTATTACTACCATGAATATTAACAACAACAAAATAAAATATTATAGACCAGAAAGGTTCTATTCAGCACTCCTGACCCTTTACCCTGGCAAATCTCCCACTGAAGTGAAAGGGAATTTTGTTGTGGGAAAGAGCTACTGAGTAGACTGCTGAGCATTTACTCTGTTTCCAATTTGCTGTGTGGAAGTTGGACATTGCACTGGAACCCCTGGAATTTGCTTATCTTCTTATCCCTTTGAATGCACCAACCCCTTCACACAAAAAACTATTCCTGAGAATGGGCAAAACATGCATCGATACCTTTATGACATATTAAGGATGTAATATAAGCCCAAAGGCATCAAAGGGAGCAGGAGTGCTCAAAAGCCCCTATGGCTCACCAAAAGCATCCATAAATGTCTCAAAGCTAAAAAGAAGTTGTATACCCAATGGAAGGGAGGGGCCATCACCAAGCAGGATTATACCTCCATTGCCCAAGATTGTAGTGGGACTGTTAGGAAGGTGTCCTAGGGAGGGACGTACAAAGATAAAACCAAACACTCACCCACAGCAGGAGGCATGATGCAGCAGGGGCAAAAGGAAGAGACCGCTCGGCTCATCAGCCGCTTGTTTATACAATTAAGGCTGGCCAGTGAAAATAAAAAATGGAGGCCGATGCCACAGAAGAGGTAAGAAGGGAGTGGGGGAGAAAGACGACCCCAGCCGGACACAGGAAGGGAGGAGACCTCCACCGCAGGTCCCACTGAACCCAGCGGACCACTGGGAGCCAGGGGCGGGAAGACGTCAGGCAGCAGAGACCCCGGACAAGGACCCAGGAATGGACTGGGGGCCCAACAGGATCCCAGGTGGGAGAGTCAGAGCGACCAGGGTGAGCAGGGACCCACGCTGGCAGGAAGGACCCCGAGAGGACCCCCAGGGTGGTTGCAGTCGGGGCAGGTATTGCTGCCATTTCCAGCTGGGTCAGCAGCAGAGTGGGAAGAACTCCCAGGGATGGCGGATAATATTAGGTGCTACAAGTTAAAATTAGAAGGGAAGGAAAAGGGTAGGAGTGGGGCGTAGTTATGCCAAGAGGCAGGCCTGAGTCTAGGGTTTCTTGGATGATGGGTTTCTTTTGTTTCCCCATGTGAAGGGGTTGAGGAGGGGATGCTTGTGAGCTTCCCCGAGTAGTGGGGCTGAGGGGAGAGCCTCAGAGGTTTTTCTTTGTTTCCCCTGGAGAAGGGGCTGGAGGGAAGAAGGAAGGCGGGGTAGATACAGAGCCGAGAGGACTGATCCCATGTTGGCAAGAAGTCATAACGGGTGGCTGGCAGAAGGTCACCACTCCACTGAAGAGGCTGAGGCCAACGGAGAGCATTGCACATGAGGTGGAGTGAGGCCAGGGTGTAGGGGTGGTGGAGCCCCATGAATGACTGTCAGGTGAACCGCGGGCCACCAAGGAAACCAGACGGTCAACCCCGACCACTGAGGAACCAACAAGTCATGGCAGGGGAGAGTGGGGAAGGCGAGTCATGGAGGAGACACCTGCTTGGCCAAAGACGTGAGCCCAGAGAACACCCAACGTCCATCACCCAGGCGAAGGCCACTCGAAGCCCGATGGTCACAGAAGGCTAAGGTGGAGATGGAACTGGGACTAGCAACCCGGATCAAGGACAACAAGAAGTTCTTTTTTAAATACATAGGGGGTAAAAAGGTACTGGGTAACACAGGGCCTCTGCAGGATATGCTTGGAAATCTGGTGGTCACACAAGACGACAAAGCTAACCTCTTTAACAATTTCTTTGCCTCCATCTTTTTGAGCAGGGATTGGGGCATCCCCCCTACTGGGATCCCCGATGGACCCAAGGGAAGTGCTGCCAGGCCTAGGGTCAGTGAGAACCTAGTCAGGGAACTTGTGGTGGGTCTAGACGTGTTCAAGTCAGCAGGACCTGATGATCTCCACCCCAGAGTGCGGAGGGAATTAGCAGAGGTCATTGCGGGCTGTACGAGCACTCACAGTGCTCTGGCAAGGTGCCGGAAGACTAGAAAAGGGCCAATGTGGTCCCCATTTTCAAAAAAAGGGAGGAAGGAGGACCCAGGAAACTACAGGCCCGTTAGTTTTACCTCGGTCCTGGGGAAGCTCTTTGAGAAAATTATCCAGGAGCACATCTGCGAGGAACCAGCAGAGGAGATCATGCTTCAGGGCAACCAACACAGGTTCATTAGAGGCAGATCCTGTCAGACCAACCTGGTGGCCTTCTACAACCAGGTCAAAATCCTTGGACACAAGTGTCGCAGTGGACAGTCTTTCTGGGCTTTAGGAAGGCCTTCGACACCGTCTCTCACCCCATTCTCATTAAGAAATTAGGTGACTGTGGCGTCAGTGCCTAGAGTCAGATGGGTCACTAATTGGCTGGAGGGCTGCACACAGACAGTGGTGGTGGATGGGTCTTTTTCGACCTGAAGGAATGTGGGCAATGGGGTCATCGGGCCCACACTGTTCAACATCTTCATCAGCGACTTGGATGAGGGGGTGAAATTCGCGGATGACACTAAATTGTGGGGAGAAGTGGGCATGCTGGAGGAAAGAGACAAGCTGCAACTAGATCTAGACAGGTACAGGGGTGGGCGGATGAGAACAGGATGGGATACAACACTGACAAATGCAACATACTGCACCTGGGGAGAAAGAACCAGCAGCATACCTACAGGCTGGGGAACTCCCTTCTAGTCAGCACAGAGACAGAAGAGGATCTTAGTGTCATTATTGATTCCAAAATGAACATGGGCCGCCAATGTGGGAACACAGTCAGGAAGGCTAACCACACCTTGTCATGCATCCAGAGGTGTATCACAAGCAGGTCCAAGGAGGTGATCCTCCCCCTCTGTGCGACACTGGTCAGGCCGCAGCTGGAGTACTGTGTCCAGTTCTGGGCGCTGCACTTCAGGAGGGATGTGGACAGCATCAAGAGGGTCCAGAGGAGGGCCACTCACATGATCAGGGGGAAGCAAGGCAGACCCTACGAGCGGAGGCTATGGACCTCAGCCTGTTCAGCCTCCACAAGAGAAGCCTGAGAGGGGATGTGGTGGCCATCTACAAACTGGCCAAGGGGGACCAGCAGGCTATGGGAGAGTCCCTGTCCCCCCTCCCCCCCCAAGCACTACCAGGAGTAATGAGGAATAACAACCATAATTTGACTGACAGCAGATTCTGGCTAGATATCGGGAGGCACTACTTCACAACCAGGGTGGCTAGGATCTAGAACCAACTTCCAAGGGAAGTGGTGCTCACTCCTACGCAAGGGGTCTTCAAAGAGGAGGCTAGATAATCACCTTGCCGGGGTTGTTTGACCCCAGCATTCTTTCCTCCCTATGGCAGGGGTCAGACTTGATGATCTACTCAGGTCCCTTCTGACCCTACCAACTATGAAGGAAAATTATTTTTCTCATGAACAATGCATGCTCCTGAAGGCAGTGGGGATGTGGTGGCAGTGAGTGGGGAGCTCCTGCAGGCAGCCGCGGCAATGTTGGCAGTGAAGGGAGGGGGGGTGGCGAGCAGTGAGCACCCACAAGTGTCACTGGTAGTGTCAGCGGTGCACCAATCTCAGAGGGTACACGTGCACTCCCCTATGCATCACCAATGATTTTTCTGTTCCTGCATGCAGCTGGGAATCATAAAATCTGGGTTCAGCTCCTAAGCCTACCAGACTTGCAGAGCCAACTGGGATTTTCAAAACTAGTTACAGGTACTCCTCACTTAACTGTGTTAACTGGGACAACGTTTTGTTATTACATCGCTGACCTATTAGAGAACATACTCGTTTAAAGTGGTATAATGTTTGGCTATAACGTTGTTTGGCCACCACCTGCTAGTAGGTAACTACTGTGATGTAACTGGATTTGCTTAACATCATTTTGCTTAAAGTCGCATTTTTCAAGAACGTAAATACGACGTTAAGTGAGAAGTAGCTGTACATCATTTGCAAGTGAATGTAACATAAGATCCTGCATCGGCTTGGTACTTTAGACAATTCAGCCCTTAAGCTCCTCGTGTCTCTGTTTATGTTTCATGAAAGGGTAACAGTAATACTTCCTCTCTCATGCCCTATGTCAGTCTGGGTTGTACTGAAATATAAATAATATTAACAGTTAAAAAAAAAATCAAATTAAACCTTGGTTGACTGGTTTCAGTAATGCAATCCTTAAAATATTTTTCCATCTTTGGAACATGTGCAACTATTGTTACTAATAAGGCATGGTAGATTTGCTCTTTATAGACTAACTAAATCACAGATGTACAGCATAGGGTGCAGACAGAAGCAATAGTTTTGCACAATCTGGCTCCTGAGAGCACTCTACAGCCATGACCCAAACACACGTGCACAGCTGCAAAGCACTTCTAAAATGGCCAATTGGCACTTCCAAAATTAACCCTTCTCTAATCTCTAATCAGGTAACAGATTAAGGCTCTCTGTTTTAGAACACCTTAAGGCACTTGTTTTCCCCTGGGAGTTAATTTTATGCATGGGGGTGAGGTTGTCAGTGCAGAGGGAGTGAAAGGAACAGCAGTAGCTGCAGGGCTGCTATGCCTGGCCTGAGCTGGAAGGGGGTTGGAACAGAGCCCCTCACCTCGCAGCCCATCAGCTACCCTGGCTGGGGTATTGGGGTGAGCTGGACTGGGCTCCCAAGATTCCTGGAGCTGGGGGGGGGGCGGGGCTGAGGAGAGGGGTGGTCCTGGCCAGTGCCACCAACTGCTGGCCAGTAGGGCCAGTGCAAGCAAGCAGGCTCCATTTCCCACCCCCCTCCATCCCCAACCCAACAGGCAAACATCTGTTGGGTCAAGGGGGCACTCTAACTCATGATGCTTTATGTACAGTGCCATGAGCTAGAGCAGGGCCCTGCATTTCTGACAGAGCCCACAAGCTTTCATAAGCCAGGGTTTACTTTATCAGATGCTGTGAAGGGACTGCCAGAAGCAGAGCTGCTAAATACAAAGCAGTGATTAGAACACAAAGGATAGGGAAGGTGGGGAGGAAAAAGAAAGGGGCACTGCTGAGAGAGGCAAGGTGGGGAGGAGAGTGAAGAACAAAGCAGTTAACCCATTGAGGGACATGGGGCTTATAAAAACGAATCCAGGTAATGGGATAATAACCATAGCCTTAGTTTAGACCACACTTAACACAATCCAGTCAAAGTCATTGATAGGAGAGACATATCTCTGCTACAGAAGAGACATGTTTCTAATCTGTAGTAACCCTTCTCTGAACATGTTTGATTGCCTCTTTCTTGAACATGGATGAGCAGAACTGTACACAATATTCTAGATTCCACCTATGTCTTGTACAATGGCATTAATATGTGTCACATTAGTGACACACTTTTCACAGTTATAACACACTAGTGGTTCAAATCTGTGATTGACTAATACATTCAGGCCTTTCTCCTCCTATGTTATCCTACTGATGAGGTTCAAGTTTATGTTGGCTGAGACCTTCAGAAAAGTTACGAGTCCTGGCTGGCCTTTGTGAACATTAGTTTCCCATGGTTGCCTCTGTGCTCTTGGCCAAAGCATTTCTCATGCTCCTTCAGAACGGTGGGCAAGGAATGGAAACTAGCGGCAAAGACAAAGAACTTGAAATCCACATACATCTGATTTTGAACATTCATATGGTGCATCTGCTTTTGTGCCACTCTCTACCAGAGCTAAATTGCATCTTACAGAAATCACCAATGTATTTTTTCCTGCCTAATCATTTTAAAAGGAGGACTGGGAAATTGTGGTTGACTTTCTTTCTTTATATTCTCATACACTTTGCCGAATTCAGTGAAAGATCCTTTGACGGATGTTCCCCCTTTCCATATAATGCAAGTGGCCTCCCTTTCCAGGCATGTCTAATTAATGCATTTAATTAATAAATGTCCACCTTACATTTACAATAAAATCAGAGGGAACTCTCATTAATTTTCCTCTTTATTTTCCCTACAGTGGACTTGACTGATGTCTCCCTGATTCAGCACATCCTTCCATGTCACCAGTGCCAGAAGGAGAACTCTTTGAAAGTACAACAGCTCTGCTCATTGCTGAAAGAGCTGTTTCAGAGTGCCAGATTAGACAAACCAGGCCAAGTAGATCCAAAAGCCCCTGATTTGACTCTAAGGCTGCTAACTGCCATGTATGACAGGTGAGAGGAAGCCCACTACTACTTTCAACATATACTATTTCTGTAAGTAACATCCTGCCCATCCCTCTTCTGCCTTTTCAGTGAGAAGCCCAGCCCATGCTCAAAAGGTGTGTTGTTATTTGAATTGTGCATGACTGGAGGTCCAATGGTAGGAAAATTTTACTAACTGGTATTATAGGCAACTGGTGCCTCCCGAGTCTGGGGGGGAACCAGGGGGACATGGCTGGGGTGGTGTCCTC